GAGGAGGATGAAGGAGGAGCGACGGGATTGAGGTCTGTGGCATCCCCTGCATTCCCACAGAGGAGACCAGGGGGCTTCCAGCAGTGGCTTGGTCATTGCCAGGCTGAGTGCAGATGTCAGGGAGGTGTGGCAAAAGCCCTATGGCCTAGTTCTAATTCTAAAAACTAGAGACTGTATATTGGGGAATATATATTAAGGCCCCAGGAATCACTTGAACCAGCAGAGATCCATCGGAATGTGTTCTACTCACTTTGAAGGTTGGGTTTTGGCACGTAACTGCTTTGTTGACAAGGACTGAGATTATGCAATTCATTAGATCAAAGTTACCTAGGAAAATGAGCTGACAGAAAAAAATTTAGAACCCAGGTGTTCCTATTTTGCTCTCTAGGTATTAGGCAAGTTTAGTTTTCCCTTTGGTGCCCCCCTTTTCCAACAATCACAAAGCTGGGGCTTGTCTTCCTTGTACAGTTGACATAAAAATTACAGGCCTGGAGGGAGATGAGCTGGTGGCATTTCTTCCCTATAACCGCATATTGTGGGGCTCATCCTACAAATATGGACTTACTCCTCTACAGTTGACATAAAAATTACAGGCCTGGAGGGAGATGAGCCGGTGGCATTTCTTCCCTATAACCGCATATTGTGGGGCTCATCCTACAAATATGGACTTACTCCGCAGACTCAGCTGGGCGAGTGTCTGTTTCTCAGCTTCCTTAACAGTGAGAGCTCCAGACTCAGGTGAGTGGCAGGAGGAGGCAGAGTCGTCTCAGTGAATGACTAGGAGAGTTATCTTATAATTTTCATCTTATATCTCAGAGAATAATAACCAAACACAGCAGATGGTTTTAGATGAAAGATCAATTCTGTGAATTTATGAGGCTTTACATTTATTGATTTTAAGAAACTGGTAATTTTATAATGTATTTGAATCACAATTGCATTTTACTTTTACTTATTTTACTAATTTTTCTAAGTTTATCTTACTGTATGTACTTAGGTAAAAGTTTACACTGTAAAACACAGAAATCTAAACTAATTTAGAAAGATTTAGTCATACTTTTCGTTCTTTTAAATTCGGAAATACTTTAGTATTTATTTACTTGTGGTTCATAAACTCGTTAAGCCCACAAGAAGATTTAATAGTTCAACACCTGCCATATCGCTGAACATTGAGATAAAAGTTAAAGTAAATCTAAAAGCTTTAACGGCTTTAAATATCTGCATTTTATGCATTTAGGAAAGATAATGCCAGAGAGGAGAGACCTCAACATGAAATGAAGAGAATACATTTCTCCAAATTCCAGTTTCTAACTTTGAAATATCCCCCCAAATCAATATTTGACACATTTATAAGACTGTTATCATCTATTTACCATGATGCACAGGTAAATGGTGGTACAAGACATTTCCAGCCTTTAGAAAAAAAGAATGTTATACTTTGCATGTATCTTCTTGGTAGGGATAATCAGAAAACGGGCAAACAAAAACGAAACTTCCAACAGGATTTTTAGGATCTCCCAAAATCAGTAGCACAGAATTTGTAATCAAGTCCTTCCAGTATTTTTCTGTCTCCTACTTCTGCAGTGACACTTTCTCTGCCTGTGCTTTCCCCTGAGATGGCCAAGAATTAAATGTCTTGGAAAATATAAATATTCTTGTCAGCAAGCATTGTGCTTACAGCAGAACCTTACACTCACTAAAATGGTAAATGCTTTGCAGTCACTCAGTGGCATCTGAAGCTTATCACACTTATTCTTCTGGCATTTGTCCATTTCATAGCGATCTTTTCAGAAAGCTAATCTTGGTAAGAACGTCTTTTTCCTTCCCAAATTTGCCAGCTCATTTTCTCAGTTTGCCACCTATTCAACCAACTTATCAACCAAGCCCCCTTAACTTGGCACCTGAAATTCTCATAATTGCTTCATGCTAATGTCCATGACCAGTTATAGGTCTAAAAAGGATGCTCATAAATGCGGAAATTTTTATGATGAATATAACACTTTTGATTAATACTAAAACAAAACAGAATATTTTTAATCATATAAATTATATTCTTATATTGACATAAGGCACAGTGTAAAGTTTACTCTTCAAATGATATCATTCATAAAATAACACCACTCTAAAAATTAAACATTATTTTAAAAATAAGAGAACAAGTTTTACCAAACTTCTTTTTCTACAAAGGACATACTCACCATATGCAAAAGAGCTCCTGGGATTCTGTAAATGGCTCCCTTTTTTTCGTACACATCTAATCTAAGCCCACATACTTTATGATCATTCTTTCGTTCCTGGTCCATTTAATGGTATTATACTCTTTATTGTTAACCATGATTATTGTATATACATTGGGACTGATGATATTGAGAACAGCCTGAGCTGAAAGCCAGTATAATTAAACTGAACTTGATCTGCGTTGCCTGTTTACTGAGAGTGCTCAGAAGCTTCACCTTCAGCCCCAGCTGCACCTGCTCGTCACTCCTCATACTGAGAGCTAAGATGCATGTCCACATTTTAAAATTTTTAATGTATCATGTAGGACTAAATTTTCCTTTGCACTCTGACCAACCTACAAGTGATCTCTAAGAAATTTTCTTTTAGTTTGTTTCTCCCAGTTTGCCACCATGTTATTGCAAATCCCATTCTTCTTCCACGGAGGAATTGCCAGATTCATCAAATCACAATATAACATACACAGATAAGTTTGAAATTTGGATTTTAAAAAAGGACTTTTGTGGTATGTAGATGGCAACTATCAGTTTTTTAGTTTGGGCAGTTGAGACACATTTCCATAAATATAATGAATTTAGTTATATTCTATTTATCCACCCTAATCCATGGGAACCATGATTCTTTCTTGTCCAGGATCAGCATCGATGCCCTCAAGAGCCTTATTAGAAAAAACACCATTTTATAATGCAGAAGATCAAGACCTTTCCAGTATGTGATGGTCACTTACAGAGTGAGCAGAATGAATTAGAGAGCATAAAATGGATATCTCTTGAGGTGAGAGAAAAAAATATTAATATTATTATCTATGTTATTAAGTCTATTTGTTCTGACTCTTTAGTGTATTACCTGTAATATATAAAATGTATTAATAAGATTATATGGATACATAATTAATAAATCATTGTACATATATTATTAGTCCATGTTCAAATATTTCATGGATACTGGAGTGTGATTTTTAAAATTTGGATACCATTAAGCCTTTAATTTAACACTAGCGTGCTTCTCCTGCTTCCAACTTGACAGTTGTACCCAACTATGCTGAAGGTACAGACGCATGTTCTGGGGGACTCCCTATTGTTTGGTTCTGACAATTAAGATAAATGTGTTCATTTACTAGATTAAGATTTTGTAGAAAGAGTAACAACCAGGCAATCAATTATAGAATGTTTACTTTATAAAATCATATGTATCAGGTGGTTTTAGAGCAATTTTCTACCTCAGCCTGTAATTTATGATCATAAATGAAAAATACCAATTGTCGACATTTCTGCATTGCCTTACATATTTTCATTTATGAAGTAGGATAGTGATAAGTGACCTTGAAAATATCATTGGGCATACTTTCATCTCAGAAGAATCTGAGTAAATATGGTGGTTTTCCATTTTTCTGTGTCATAAAGTTGAATTCTTTTTAGCCCTGAATTAAATTAAAATGATAAAATAACGATTTTCAGGCTAAATAACATGAGATGGTCAACTGCAAAATTGTCCTGTGAAATTTTCCAAAATTTTCTGGTATTGGAGATATTCCTAAATAAATTTAGAAAAATTATCTTTATTAGTGGACAGTGGCATGGGAGAGTATCCTTGTGGTAAGGAAAGCATCAATAAAAGCATCAACATGCGATTATTTTTACATAACCTCATAGGTATCATAAAGTGATTATAAGTAGTGTTTATCCTCTTAATAATTGAGAAGGGAACATTACAATTTTATTTTGACATGAAGAGATTTCACATAAGAGATCTCTGGCATCGCAACTAAACTGTGATCGAGACAGGATAATTTTTAGGTGATACATTAATTCTGGTTTGGGTAAGCAGATTAATGACCCCCTTCCCCAAAATATCCACACCATAATTTTCAGATAGTGGGAGTATATTACAATTCATAACACAGAGAATATAAGGTTACAGATGAGATCAAGATTGCTAATAGCTTATGAAAAATAGGGAGATCATCCTAAATTATCATAAGTCCAGTAGAATCCCAAGGGTTCAAAACTGTGGAAGAGGGCTAAAGAATAGAATGTATCGAAATTATAGGATATAAGAAAATTTCAACTAAGCGTTTTTTTTCCATTTTTTGTTTTAGTGATTCTTTCCACATTTTTTTTTAATTCAACCATACAAATACCATTAATTTTATATGTCTGTTACTGTTTTGGGTGCTAAATATAAAATAAGATAATGCAAAACATTAAAGATATGATTTCTAATAGGGAGGATCAGGTGCAATAGCAATACAGATCATGTGCACCCC